GGCAGAGCAGCTCCAATTGTCCGGCTGGCCGGAGCACTTCCGGGTTCCAGTTGGTGCCGGACTATCAGGAGTGCCGGACCACTGGATGCCGGACAATTGGAGTTTTACTGTAATTGCTTTTCTTAAACTGAAGAACATATTTGGACAGGAGACTGGAGAAACCTGGATTCTCCTAGACTGAAGTGATAAAGAAAACTTTACTGGAAACATGATTTATCTTGAATACAGCTACCTGTTAAATGTATCTGTTTTCATATCAATAAGGAAGGCCTGCTAGAACACTAGATTGCAGATTCCAGTTATCTTCTTCATTTACGTTTGAAATACAATTTTTAACTGTAAGTTCAGCTAAATATGGACAAATAAATAAGCAAGACCCCGTAACAGGCAACACAGGTCTTTACCCACTCCATGACTATACATTTTTTCGTAATCATGCCCTGAATATGATTACTTAAATCAATAACTCTGCATGTGTGAATAAGAGAGATCCAGATATATTCTAGCCCAAATACAAGTACTAATCAGATTTCTGTGTTTTAAAAGAGTTACTTGTTTCATAACTATTATTCTTCAAGATGTGTTTCTCACATCCATTCCACATTAGGAGTGAAATGGACGTGAGAAACATTCAGCAGCATCCATAGTAGAGTTGCTGTGGCACCTCTACATGGTGCAATATAAGGGGTACCACGCGTTTCCCCCACCCTCAGTTCCTTCTTGCCAGAAACTCCAAAAGTTGGGAAAGGAAGGCAGATTGTGGAATGGTCCTGAGCAACATGTCTCTAAGAATACCAGTTATGGAACAGTGCTTGCTTATGTCCATTCCATATTAGGGGACTCCAAGTAGTCCCAGTGGAGGTTTATAACACAACTCTGCTGAACTCAGTGTCTGGGATGCACTGCACCAAAGAATGCAAGGGAGAGATACCTCGTTCCTTTGGCCAGGTAGATTAGTGTTGTAGATGGCTTCCTGCTTCCTAGGAGAACTTGCTGGATTTCCTCTGAGCTGCTATTGTCCTCCAGGTTCAACCATGGAGCATTCACATTGAGAGATGCAGAGACTCAAGGTTGGGGAGTAGAAGCTGATCATGGTCCTATGGCGGTTGGGAAGGGTCCTGCGACGGTTGGCAAGGCCACGCTAGGCTGATCATGATAACCTGTGCTGGATCTTTCTTGATCTTCACTAGGACTCACCCGACGAGAGAAATCGGTGGAAACACATACATCAGACCGTTGGCCCATGACAGAAGGAAGGCATCATGGTGGGAGCCCTTGCCTAGCCCCCCCGGGAGTAAAACCAATGGCACTTTCTGTTTTGCCTTGTGGTGAACAGGTCTACTGGGGAGTTCCCCACCTCTGGAAGATCATGCAGGTAACTTCTGGGTGGAATGACCACTCATAGTGATAGACATCCCTGCTGAAGCGATCCGTATGGCCATTCCTAACTCCAGGGAGGTGACCAGCTTCCAGATGGATGCTGTGGCTGATGCAGAATTCCCAAAGACGGACAGACTCTTGGCACAGAGCCAAGAAATGTGCTCCCCTTTGACTGTTGATGTAGAACATCAATGCTGTGTTGTTCGTCCTCACTCTCACCAACTTTATGGACATGTGTGGCAAGAAGACACTCTACAGGCCAAGTGAATTGCTCTGAGCTCCTTGATATTTATGTGTAATATAGCTTCTTCCAGTGCTCACATCCTATGGGTGCAGAGCAATGTTCCCTCTAACCTTTTCCATCCATGTGTGGAATACATTTTTAGATCAACTGAGGCATGTACCAATCTGCACTACCAGTAGAAACTAAACCTAATTGTAGGCACTCTGCTAATCAGCTGGGCAGCATCTGAATCTCCCCTAAGTGGCCGCACAAGCACACAGTTTACAGGAACACCAAAAATTACAGTGGCATCCAAAAATAAATACGGAAATTTCTGAGGTGCACGCCCCAGCCAGGGGCCATCTGACTGTAGCTTCAGGGAAAGAGCAGGATTGTCGAATGGGACTCCTTCCAGGGCCTTCTCTGGACTGGTCCACTACTGCAATGAGATGAGTACCATCAAGTGAATGGTTACAATCTTTCCCAGGTGGTCTCTGTCACAGGTCAACACCAGCTATTC